ATCAGCGGTTTAACACCCTCGACCTTTCTGAAGCCCCATAAACAAATATGAGCGATAAGAATTCTGCTTTGATTTCCACTTGCGCTTTCAAGTCAAGTGCAGCCCTCTTCACCTCTTCACCGCACTTATCCATAGTCTCAGGTAGTTTTCTGTCATCGTCTTGTGTTTTTCTTAATTTATGTCGGGTCTGCAACAATGCGAGCGTGACAATTACTCGGATGGTGTGCTTTTTGTTTGATGTGTGAAACACGGACATTCTCCAAGCTTCATACTGTGGCTGTGTGCAAATGTCATGATGAAAAGGTTTATTAACAGATTTCAGTAATTCACTTTAATTGCATAATATTAAGGGTTAACCAGACACTTTTAGAAAACTATCCTGTTGCTTCCTTTTTTTGTTTTAGAATCATAATATTTCATTTCATTTTCATCCCTATTATTTATCCATTTCTGGGTCAGGGGGGTGGCGATCAGAGATGCCATCCAATTCACAATGGACCAGTCTCTCGCTGATCCTCCTGCAGGTGGGGTTCAGCAGGGGCTTCAGGCAAAGTGGGGTTAAGTGTATTGCCCGGACACAACAGCAGACATCAGTGGGAGCAAATTGTAATCTATGTCGGATAATGTATGGTCATGTATCCATCTACCTTTATTTTACTGTTTTACAACGACCTGCTCAGGGACTACAGGTGTAAATTCTCTCCTTTTGGCTAATGATTATTGTACACTGTCCCTGTAAAAATAAAAAACCATACCATTCCATACCAGATGTCATGGGTCATGGTGGGATGGAACCCACGACCATTAGGTCCAAAGAATCTACCAACTGAGCCACTGTCACCCTTCCATAACATGAATTATGTAGTAAAGTGAGAGATCTAAACTACTTTTTCTCCACTTTGAGAACCAGGCAAACACACTGATGAGGAGGCTCAGCATGTGTTCTTACCCAGTTAAATGTGCTTTCGAGCTGCACTCCACTGTACACAGCCCCTTGGTGGAAAATGTGAAAAAACGCATCTGTGCATGCGCCAGCCGGCACGAGCCCCATTCATTTTAACGAGTACCTTCAAAAATTCACAGCGACTAAACTAGACTGGTCCAAAAAGATTCACCCCCCTCAGCATTGACACATGTGGAACGGAGCTTTGGGCCAAGAGCCAACCTTTGGTCCATCCTGTAAAGACGTTTTCGAGAGGTAAGAAGATGCTATATGTTAGCATTGAATAATTCTCATTCCAGGTCCACCCCCAATCGGCCCGGGGTGGTATTGCAAGCATGTCAGTGCACGTCATTATGGCCACTTTTGAGCCGGAACCCGCCCCCACTGGTCCAAACAAGTCGGGAATAAATGTAAACGTAAATGTGCACTTTATTGTCCCCGTTTGGCCATCTGTCCTCTGCATTTGACCCACCCTGATGCCACTAAGGCTTACATCAGGAGGTGCTATCCACTCAGCCACCGTGCTTAGATTATTATCATTAACCGATACCATCGCCGACGATGGGTGCGCACATGTTTTACAAGTGATCAATTTACTCGCGAACTGTAAACGGTAGCAACTTACTTTTTTTTTGTCTCCGTGAAGTACACATTCCAGCCTTTCCGAAACGGGCTTCGGTTTGCCTGTGCGACGCACGGAAAATAAACTTTGTGTGTATCAAAGTCAGTCCCCCAATCGGATCTTCGAGCGGTGCCCCGTGAGCCAATTGTAAAGTTGTTTACTCAAACGGGGACTCGCACAAAGATTGTCAGAGAGTAGGATCTCTCACTCCTCTGTGTGTACTTGTTGCTGCAGCGCTCAGAGGAACCAGAGGAGTGCACATTATTGAGAATAGACAATAATAAATACAGTAAACTGATATTATGTGTATATAATGTATTTGTATATATAAATAAGATGTTTTATTTATTTTTTTGTCTTTGTTTGTTTTGTCTTCATGCCGTCAGGCTGAAGAAGGAGTCCTATCGAGCAATGATGGTTCGTGGGACTCCTGAGGCAGCTGTCCAGTACCGGCAGGCCAAACGTGCCGCGGCCCGGGCTGTTGCAGAGGCAAAAACCCGGGACTGGGAGGAGTTCGGAGAGTCCATGGAGCATGACTATCGGTCGGCCTCGAAGAGGTTCTGGCAAACTGTCCGGCGCCTCAGGACGGGGAAGCAGTTCTTTGCCAACACCGTGTATGGTGCGGGTGGAGGGCTGCTGACCTCGACTGGGGATATTGTCGGGCGGTGGAAGGAATACTTCGAGGTTCTCCTCAATCCCCCCGTCACATCCTCCGTCCAGGAGGCTGAGGATGTTGGGGCGGATACTTCCATCTCCCTGGCCGAGGTCACCAAGGTGGTTGGCAGCCTCCATGGTGGCAAGGCGCCGGGAGTGGATGAGATCCGTCCTGACTATCTAAAGTCTCTGGATGTTGTAGGACTGTCTTGGCTGACACGTCTCTGCAACATCGCGTGGCGATCGGGGGCGGTGCCAATGGAGTGGCAGACCGGGGTGGTGGTCCCTCTCTACAAGAAGGGGGACCGGAGGGTGTGTTCCAATTATCGTGGGATCACACTCCTCAGCCTCCCCGGTAAGGTCTACTCCAAGGTACTGGAGAGGAGGCTACGTCCGATGGTCGAATCTCGGATTCAGGAGGAGCAGTGTGGTTTTCGTCCCGGTCGCGGAACACTGGACCAGCTCTATACTCTCCATCGGATACTCGAGGGTTCATGGGAGTTCGCCCAACCTGTCCACATGTGCTTTGTGGATTTGGAGAAGGCGTTCGACCGTGTTCCCCGGGGTGTCCTTTGGGGGGTCCTCCGGGAGTACGGGGTCCAGGGTCCTCTGCTGAGGGCTGTTCGGTCCCTGTATGACCGGAGCCAGAGCTGTGTTCGCATTGCCGGCAGTAAGTCAGACCTGTTCCCGGTGCATGTTGGCCTCCGCCAAGGCTGCCCTTTGTCACCGGTTCTGTTCACTGTATTTATGGACAGAATCTCTAGGCGCAGCCAGGGGCCGGAGGGGGTCCGGTTCGGGAACCACAGGATTTCATCTCTACTTTTTGCGGATGATGTCGTCCTGCTGGCTCCAACGAACCAGGACCTGCAACATGCACTGGGACGGTTTGCAGCCGAGTGTGAAGCGGCTGGGATGAGAATCAGCACCTCCAAATCCGAGGCCATGATGCTCGACCGGAAAAAGGTGCCTTGCCCTCTCCAGGTGGGTGGAGAGGTCCTTCCTCAAGTGGAGGAGTTCAAGTATCTCGGGGTCTTGTTCACGAGTGAGGGGAGGATGGAGCGTGAGATTGACAGGCGGATCGGTGCAGCGTGCGCAGTGATGCGGTCTCTGTATTGGACCGTTGTGGTAAAGAGGGAGCTGAGCCGAAAGGCAAAGCTCTCAATTTACCGGTCAATCTTCGTTCCCTCCCTCACCTATGGTCATGAGCTGTGGGTAATGACCGAAAGAACGAGATCGCGGATACAAGCGGTCGAAATGAGCTTCCTCCGCAGAGTGGCTGGGCGCTCCCTTAGAGATAGGGTGAGGAGCTCGGTCACACGTGAGGAGCTCGGAGTAGAGCCGCTGCTTCTCCACGTCGAGAGGAACCAGTTGAGGTGGCTCGGGCATCTGTTCAGGATGCCTCCTGGACGCCTTCCTGGGGAGGTGTTCCGGGCACGTCCCACCGGGAGGAGGCCCCGGGGAAGACCCAGGACACGCTGGAGAGACTATGTCTCTCAGCTGGCCTGGGAACGCCTAGGGGTCCCCCCGGACGAGCTGGAGGAGGTGTGTGTGGATAGGGAAGTCTGGGCGTCTCTGCTTAGACTGCTGCCCCCGCGACCCGGCAACGGATGAAGCGGAGGAAAATGGATGGATGGATGGATGTTTTGTCTTATGTATTTTACAGCTGTGATACAGAAGTAACCCCAGCCTTATACACAAACTGCTTGAGGAAGGGCATCAGGAGTACAGCGTTTTTGGCTTTTATAGTGTAATTTTGTAAATACTATAATAGTCACAGGTTCAATATTTTTCCCCATTATCCCCAAGACCCTAAATAACATTTCTATGCAGTGTAAAAAGTTGTTTATAGCATTTCATTGTTTTTTTTTTCAATACAGTTTATGAAATTGATTTTCTATTTCGTTTTTTTCTTTGTCTTCATGATTCCGTACTTTTTTATATAATCGATATGACAGCTCTAAAATATGAATATTCTAAAACCCCAGGTTGTACTGAAAAAAACAAAGTATACTGCTTGACTCTGCATCAAAAGATTTATACACAAAGAAAACCAGGCGAGGAAAGTTCCCTAAAATGACCTTAGACCTTAATAACCATTGATTAAGAGTCCGACCGAAGTTTGAGGTTGATAATATCATTTATCATGCTTTTAGACCTATATTTCCATCAAAGCAAAGAAAAGTTATGTTAAGCTTTATACGTTAACCAATTAATACTGATTTCTATGCAGCCTTTGGTGCTTTTAAAACTTTCTTTGCCTTTGAATCAAGATGTGAGTGAGATGTGAATGCAAAACTCAAAGAGCTAATATGTCCATCGGCGAGCACACCGCTGGCTCTCCATCTCTACATTTATGTTAATTATTTTAATAAAAGCCTAAAGTTTAATAGAGACAAACAATAATTAAAAAACGAATTGATGAAATGAACAGCACCACCTTTTTGAAAGTCTCCCTCAAAAGTGACTTGTTTTGCTTGATGTATTTCTCCAAAGACATTTACCGTGTGTGTCTGGTAAACAAGGTATAATGCGGCGTGAATGTGTTTGACGTCCCCAAATGCTCTCAGGCTGTATGCAGATAATGCCGCCTGATAGTGTGGGATTGGAAACTGCACAACAAACCCGCTCTGATTGTCCTCATCAGCCACAGATACGGCTGTAATGAAAGCAGCCTTTTTGCCTTCTGCCCACTTTGAAAATCTGCCCGTGATTATTATACATTACTTTTCCCTCCATTCGCTGCAAGAGTTCATCGATTTTTTTGTGTGTTTATATTTGCAGGACCGGATATACTGGACGGACCTGGAAGATGAAGCCATTTACAGCGTGAATCGTTTGACCGGACACGACGTGGTCAAAGTGGCCGAGCATCTCAACAACCCTCTGGATCTCGTGGTCTTTCATGAACAGAGGCAGCCGCAGGGTACGTATGTTGTGGATGTGGCCTGGAGGTCTACTCTTATGCCCTGTACTTTTAGAGCCTTTTTATTATTCGGCCTTGTAGTTGTACATGCTGACACATTATTTGATTCATTTTTTTCTTGTATAGCCCTAAATCCCAGCAGTAGTTATCTCAGAGGACGATGTTTTTTGTTTTTTTTCTGTGGGATGTAAGTGTGAGGTGTGGGTTAGGGTTATGTTCTGTATCATGTATTATGTTTTTGTATTGTTATTGTATTGTTTAACATTGTTTTTAATATTTAACCAGGGACTATAGATGGAAACTAAGTGTGTAGCTATAATCTGGTGCAGAACATGTCTATCGTTGAGCTTAATCTTGCTGTGCACTGTCACTTTTAAAAAATAAAGACTGAACAAACAAACCAGAGATAAGAGAATCAAACAAGAATCAAAAAAGAAATGTAATGATTGAAAACACATAGAGCCATTGGTCCATAAGGGGCAGAGACCAATGTCCATAAATGTTGTTGAATGCTTTGTGTTGTGGATCAACGCCACTGTCCTTATGAAAAATTATGATTCCGGATTATAGAATGAAAGTTGGTGAACTTGATGGATTTATTACTTCAGAAAACTAGTGTAAGACAGCAGGCTCGGTTGGTTATATTATTTTATATCAGTATTAAGTCACTTGAATTGTCATTATCATGTAGAGCAGTGATACTTGATATGATTATAGTGTGAGAATTCCATTTCCCAGCAGACAGATCAGATCTATGATTAAGCCTAGGTCTAAGGCAAGACCAATTCTACACGGAGCACTTACAGAATCACTCTGCTGGATCTGCATCTTCTCTAGCTCTGTGCTGTTCTTTACTTGCTCTACATTCCAGTAGTTTGCGTAACATCAGACGACGTCATATTTTCTGTTCGAACGCAGCCGTATCATCAACTGTGGGATGTGTAACTATCACCGCAGCAACCATCACCTCAAAAAGAACAAGAATATTTATTTGCAGCAAATAAATGTTTGAAGCAAAACTGTTTATTATGAATAGAAATGTCAAGTTGCATTAATCATACTCTTTGACAACCTTCAACATGTTCACTCCAGTTGAATCCATTTTATTTACAAATGGATAATATAAATTATCCCATTTCTCTTTCCACAATTAACTAACTTCTACTGCTAAAACTCCTTGAGCATTACACCATCGAAACACTGTCCGTGTGTAATTCATTACACCTGTGCTCCATTACCAAAGCACTGATGAGTCGTATAATGGACCATACTTTTGTCCTCTGCTGTGAGGGCCCAGGTGCCTCACACCTGCTCCGCGGTGTTTTCCATAGAACAATGTGGGCCGTGTTTTGAGTGTGAGATTTTCCTACATGCTTTTGTTGTTCGCCTCCTCATCGCTGCTCAGTCTTGTCTGAATGCCAGCGGGGAACTAATTGCGTTCTCTCATTAATAAATCAACACATCTGCTGAGAGGAAAATCACAAGCATGTTGTCTGCTAAATACCAACAAACACGAGACAATGAAGCATTTCTAGCTAAGCAAAAGGAAGAAAATGAATAGTGGAAAGTTAAATCATTTTGGTATGTGTTTCTGTCAGTGTTGTATGCATGATTTTTTATGCAAGTTGGGAATTTATGATGAATACAGACTTGGATGAACTGGCTTCATGTTGCAGTGATTTAGTTAGGTACAAATAACAAATGAGCTTAATGGAAGAAGAATTATCACATTGTTTAAATAATACTATTTTAGTTATCTATTTTGCATGGAAGTGTTTTGTTTCAGTTCCATTGCTAAAAAGCCATTTCCAAAAACTTAAGAATGATAAGTCAACCATTACTTATTTTAATGATACAATTTAAATATATATTTTTTCAAGATAATTTGTATCTGTGACATGCTTTTCAAATATACAAATCTTCCACCCATCTCTCTAAACCAGAGTCACCTGCACGTCACATAGTATAAAAACAGTCATAGTATAAAATAGACATACACATTTTTAAAGGCCAAGACAACCAAGTAATGAACAGCAAGACAAAATTATGCAAAAGCCTGAACAAATACATTTGTTTTAAGTTGACTTTTGACCAGTGGCGGCTGGTGGAATTTTCTACTGGGGGGGCTATGAATATGATGACTAGATATAAATGCACCACAGAATTTGACACAGTCTATTATTTTTGATAGGATGTGCCTATTCTTGTCAACCTCCTCATTGTGCTTTCTGATCCCTACCCTGTAGCTTTCATCCAGCTGGGATGAAATATTTATCTTCCCAAACATAGCTAATTTGAGGGCATTTTGCATGTGGATACCAGTCTCCTCATGCTTCTTTGCCTTTTCTAAAAAGTGCTTCAGATCAGTCATACCTGTCTTGATCCATGCTGGGTCAGATCCTGATGTTTGAAACAAGAGGCATGGAAAGCAAAATAAAGCATTAGCCTCGCTACATGCTGCTAGCCAAGATTTGGCGCTGAACCAGGTCCTGGAAAAAGTACGAGTGTACCGTCTCCCCCTGTCGCTGGACTGCTGACTAATGGTAATATTTGGCTGATCAGGTCCAAGCTCTTTAACCTCAACCTTCTCCTGGTATGATCTTCTCTCAAACGGTATTGTTTTGAGTGATCTAACTGAATTATTCTTTTTCTCGTTCTCCATTTTGCGTCTCTTTACGTTTGTCTCAAACTCCCACAGCTTTGACCTGTCAATCACTGTAAACGGACGTCACAGACAGTGACAGTACAGGTCGCGGGCGATCCCGCCCCCTCAGGGCGCACTTCTCCTGCGCCCCCAAATCGTCTTATCTCTTGCATTGAAGAGGAGCTACTGCGCATGTACAACTTTTAACGAGAGTCCATAGACGGCGGAAATACGTCCTCAGTCTGACACAGACAACGCTGATGAGCTTAATCAATCCAACTCAGCATAAACTATAAAGTATTTCTTCCACATCTGAAATAAAACACACATAAATTTCGAAATATTTTAATGTTATTATTTTTTTAAACGTTTTATTCAAGGTAACATGGCAAGTTGTGAGTGGTGGGGCGGCGCCCTAGCGCCCTCTATTGGCCGGCCGCCACTGCTTTTGACGTTCCAAAGCTTGGGAGCGACAGCCTGGAAGGACCTGTCTCCTCTGGTCCTGAAGCGAGTGTGTGGAACCATCAGGAGGTTCTGATCCACAGACCTCAGAACCCTGGCTGGGGTGTACGGCTGGATCAGGTCACTGATGTAAGACCGAGCCTGTCCCTGCAAAGCTCTGAAGGTTAAAACCAGAATTTTAAAATGTATCCTGTAGGACACTGGCAGCCAATGAAAAGCTTTAAGGACATGGGTGATGTGCGTCCTCCTGTTTGTGCGGGTCAGGATTCTCACTGCAGAGTTGTGTACTAACTGCTGGCGAGACAACTCTTTCTTGTTAAAACAAGCAAACATCCGTTTGTTTTAATGCATCATAGTCAGATAGTTTCTTTATTATTTATTTTAAGGAAAAAGTTACTGCACTAAACCAATGCTTTGAAACTTAAATTAAACTTTCTGAGTTTGCAAACCAGGCATATTTTATTAACACCTCATAAAGATTAAGCCGTGAATAAAAATCCTTGTCTTAAATCAAGCATCCCATAACACTCTGGAAATGGGTCATGATACAAAAAATGCATAACACAAAAAATAGCAAACGCTTTTAAGGAATATTGTGGTTAAAAATATAGCGGCAAGTATTTTGACAGTTTTGCAGTGATATGTGGTGGAAGAGTTCACTTTGATTATGCAAAGAAAGCAAGTTTGAGAAATATAGACCTTGGCAAACTTCCACAGGCATTAAGATATGAAACCTCTTGACACATTTTAGTGCTGCAACGTGATGGGAACATGACACCTTCCTAGCGCTGTCTTGTGTATTTATGCTTTTGTTGACTTTCCGGTTTATTGTAAAGATGTGGTGGTATTCCATTAATTAGGTCAGGGTTGATCAGAAACCAGATTCTTATTATCGAGAGCAAAGCAAACATAATCATTCTTATTGTGACTTTTCTTTTACATTTATTTGAGTTGCATCCTCTTCTATAAACATTGAGGGCTAAAGAACACTGCCGACCTGACCTCACATGTCATGCGTCGGTGCAATATCTTGAACTAATGACAGAATGTGCAATATAGAACCACATGTGTCCACTGTCAATTACTTACTCATATATGCAATATTAACTTTAATGATAGGTAGATATATAGATACTTTATTGATCCCCCATAGGAGAAATGTATTTATTAATTTATTTGATAGGGACAAGTGCACACAATCAACATGTGAAACACTGTCCGTTCCTAGAAATTCAGATGTCCAGCAGCAAAAAACTCATCCAGGTCTGATGTACAGTCTGACAGCCGAAGGATCCCTTGAAACTTTCTGTTTGGCAGCGTAGTGATAATAGCCTGTTGCTTCAATTACTCCTCTGAACGGCCATAGAGTCATGCAGAGGGTGTCTGGAGTTACCCAGGATGCCCTGCATTAGAGCCTCATCCTTCTCTCCAGCACAGCTCCCACAGAGTCCACACTTTTCCCCATCACAGAGACACATTTCCTGATCAGCCTGTCGGAATGTCAGAATGTGCAATATAGAACCACATGTGTCAATGTCACTTTTCTTTACTTACTCATCTGTGCAATAATAACTTTACTAATGTCAGAATGTACGATATAGAACCACATGTGTCACTGGTGTCACTTTGTCTTTTCTACTTGCTTCTTCATGCTAGATATTTTTTATTTTATTTAGTATGGAGTTATTTCCCCTATGGGACAAATAAAGAATCTCTTCATCTTAATCTCGAGTTACTGTTGCTGCTTCTGAATAATCAGTTCCATCTTGTTTGTTGTGTGCAGCTCCAGACACCTGTAACTTGGGCAGCCTTCCTAACGGGGGCTGTGAGTACCTGTGTCTGCGGGCCCCTCAGATCACTGAGCATTCGCCCAAATACACCTGCGCCTGTCCAGACGCCATGGAGCTGGGGCCCGACATGCGGCGCTGTGCTGTGGGTAAGAACAAGGAACACTGTACCATCATTCCTCAACGTTCGGCTATGGGCAACGGAAAATATCACTGAGTCTCAAGATAAATCTAAATATATTTCTGATACAGAGAGCTGGAAATAACTGCTCGATACAGGAGAATATGTCTGCCCCATTTGGTTTAGATGCATGTGGGCAGCACGGTGGCTGAGTGGTTAGCACTCTTGCTTCTCAGCAAGAATGTCCTGGGTTCCCGGTCGGAACATGAATTGATCAATAAAATTATACCAGATATAATAGAGATTCTTAGCTTGCAAACCCCCGGGTTTAGACCCTCGTGGCGGTGGAAGCCAAGCTGAAAACATGATGATTCCTCCACTGATGAGGCGGAGATGGGGAGGAGCTGGGTTGCTGCATGAACAGAAGCTTGGTGCAAGGACTGAGAGGCTCTGTTTGAATGAAGTGATGCTGATTGCACGTGTGTGACTGTGCAATGTGTGTATGTGTGTAGCAGAGAATTTCTGCTCTCGCTGGGTCCGTGTACTTTTGCGTTCAATACATTTTCTACTTTTGAAGGGAAATGGAAAATCGAAAAAAGGCTATTTTACATTTTCAGGCACACAGCAATATACAAAAATGACCATTTTGGGTTTTTTTCATCGCTTATAAGACATATATATTATAATAACCGGATTTGGGAACTAGAAAATAATTAACCTTCTTTTATAATGTATTTAATACACTTCAGCGTCAATCGATTACCCGGAAGTGAAACAAGTTTGTTTACTTCAGCCCTATTCGCTCCTGTATTTGTCCAAACACAGACGTTCTGTGATAATACTAATCCCGTGAGAATCTACATGTCAGTGATTGTGATCGTGATTGCCATGATTTTTTGTCAATAAGCAGAGGAGTCGCGTATCGCGGCTGTGTACACAGCTGCAGAGTCGCGGCTGCTGCTGTCTCTGTGAGGTCTATGGAGAAGTGTAGAGGACAGTGTAACGTGTTCACTGACACTAAATGATCAGACCGATGGGTTGCATTTGTACGTTTACTTTGCACTCTGTCCTAAACAGTACAGACATGTTGCTGCAGCCGTTACTTAGCAGAGTATGTGGTTCACGAGTAGTCCATACAAACTATTATTAAACATTACAGACAGTATGGGCCAGAGAACTGTAGAGCACTATATTGTTTGTCCTCATGGTCCCTGTGGCTGCTGTGGTCAGACGCGACTCTCTGGACTGCGGCCGTTATGTGAGATGTCGGTAAAAATAGTATTTTACAGATATTGCTTATGCCGTGTGAAAATCCCAGACGATCTCCGTGATTATCACAAATGATCAGAGGTCCACAGGTAACCCGTGCGAGTAAACAAACTTGTTTCACTTCCGGGTAATCGATTGTCGCCGAAATGTTTTAAATACATTAGAAAAAAAGGTTAATTATTGCATTTTCTAGTTCCCAAATCCGGATTAATATAATATACAGTGCCTTGCGAAAGTATTCGGCCCCCTTGAACCTTTCAACATTTTGCCACATTTCAGTCTTCAAACATAAAGATATAAAATTTTAATTTTTTGTCATGAATCAACAACAAGTGGGACACAATCGTGAAGTGGAACGAAATTTATTGGATAATTTAAACTTTTTTTAAAAATAAAAAACTGAAAAGTGGGGCGTGCAATATTATTCGGCCCCTTTACTTTCAGTGCAGCAAACTCACTCCAGAAGTTCAGTGAGGATCTTTGAATGATCCAATGTTGTCCTAAATGACTGATGATGATAAATAGAATGCACCTGTGTGTAATCAAGTCTCCGTATAAATGCACCTGCTCTTTGATAGTCTCAGGTTTCTGTTTAAAGCGCAGAGAGAACCATGAAGACAAAGGAACACATCAGGCAGGTCCGAGATACTGTTGTGGAGAAGTTTAAAGCCGGATTTGGATACAAAAAGATTTCCCAAGCTTTAAAACATCTCAAGGAGCACTGTGCAAGCAATTATATTGAAATGGAAGGAGTATCAGACCACTGCAAATCTACCAAGACCCGGCCGTCCCTCCAAACTTTCATCTCAAACAAGGAGAAGACTGATCAGAGATGCAGCCAAGAGGCCCATGATCACTCTGGATGAACTGCAGATAACTACAGCTGAGGTGGGAGAGTCTGTCCATAGGACAACAATCAGTCGTGCACTGCACAAATCTGGCCTTTATGGAAGAGTGGCAAGAAGAAAGCCATTTCTCAAAGATATCCAATAAAAGTCTTGTTTAAAGTTTGCCACAAGCCACCTGGGAGACACACCAAACATGTGGAAGAAGGTGCTCTGGTCAGATGAAACCAAAATCGAACTTGTTGGCCACAATGCAAAACGATAGGTTTGGCGTAAAAGCAACACAGCTCATCACCCTGAACACACCATCCCCACCTCAGCTGTAGTTATCTGCAGTTCATCCAGAGTGATCATGGGCCTCTTGGCTGCATCTGATCATTCTTCTCCTTGTTAGAGATGAAAGTTTGGAGGGACGGCCGGGTCTTGGTAGATTTGCAGTGGTCTGATACTCCTTCCATTTCAATATAATTGCTTGCACAGTGCTCCTTTAGATGTTTAAAGCTTGGGAAATCTTTTTTGTATCCAAATCCGGCTTTAAATGGCATTTAAGAATATGCACAGCCCCTCTGATCCAGCCGTACACAGAAACAGAAATCACATGCTAACTCTAATGACTCCAATGACTTTTACTTATTTATTCATCTTGCTACACCGACTCATTCATACACTGTGATCTACCTGCAGTAAGAAAGATGTTATCAAGGTCAAGGAATCCCCCAGTCTGCATGTGGTCCCAGGACACCCATATTATCATTCCACTGCCCTGAATCCAGCTTCGTTTCCCCCAGTGCTGCCGTCTGAGTGGTCCATGCATTTGTTCAGGGGCTGTTCTTAATGAATCCCACCCTGCAGCTGCTGAAGAGAGACCCTCAACCACAGAGAGGAAAGAAACAAATGATGATGTACTATATAGGACAATGCACCTCAGAGGAATACCAGGGCCATATGCACTGGGTTACACAGGCCCACTCTGCAGTACCAGTCAATGTGTGCAAATAAGCAAAAATCATATTTTTGTTGAGGTGTAGGAACAGGTTTTAACTACATTGTGTCTGTTATGATAGGATTTGTGTTGGAAAGATTGTTTGTATTTGCACTAAAAAATACTGAATCTCCGTTTGTATATTTTCTTCAGATAAAACGGGCCAATGGGTCATTTTGACCACAATATCTAAAAAGTTTAGCAACAGTCCAAATGTAATACTTTTTTAAACAATAATTCAGTGCACACATTATAATCAAATACATGTTTGTGTAAAATAGTATGTGTGTTACAGATGGATCTACAGATTTCTTGCATTAGATAATACAGTCTTTTATACTTTGTTTCTTTTAAGCTAAAAATATTTAATTTGATTATTAAATAGAGCAGTGTTTTTCAACCACTGTGCCGCGGCACACTAGTGTGCCATATGATATTGTCTGGTGTGCCGTGAGAAATTCGTCTACTTTGTCTAAAAATAGCTGCATTCGCTGTTGACCAGCGGTGACTTGTTTTGAACTGTGAGTAACCATGTAATACTTTTTCAAATCAGTAGATGGCAGCAGATAGCTAAGTACTTTGAAACTGAAAAAATGGATGCGACCACTGGCTGTAACAGGTCAGCATTGTGGCGAGAAAGGTAAAATTGGATGCGACCAACAAATGTGGGAGGGAGCGAGACAAGAGCTTTGTGGCGAGTGAGAAGTGAAAGTGATAGAGACGTTTTTGAAAATGAATTATGCCGTTTCTGAACAGGATTAACATCCTCCGCTCTGCCCCGGGGTAGCTGTGGCCGCGTTGTAGTGGTTTAACTATGAAATGTACGATTTTTGTACAACAGCTCTCGCGAACGCACTTCTGAACTGGGTACCGAGCGCAGACCGTAGTCGAGTGGACAGAACCACAGACATGCGGACCGGACAGAACCATGGACTCGCGTTCAGGACCTTCCGTGTCCCTCATCCAAAACTCCTGAATTTAAAGCTCGGATACCAAAATGTTTCCCATGCACTAACAATGCATGTTCTTTGTGTGAGTTATTATTTGACTATTTGGGCAGAGAGTGGATTTTCTTAGTTTTTTTCCACACAGTTAGTGCCACTTTATTCCCAAACTCTTGTTAATTGTATCGAGAAATATTAAATAAAGCTTAATTTCAAGGCCTGGACTTAAGCATTTTGATGAGAATAACTGTATATTGTGAATATAGGCTACAGAGTATACTGTATACATTATAAGATAAGATGAACTTTATATATCACACAGAGTATGTACAGTATATATTTTTTTACATTAGTACTGTATACATTTTTACATTTTCTCCTGGAGGTGTGCCGCAAGATTTTTTCAGTGAAAAAAGTGTGCCTTGGCTCAAAAAAGGTTGAAAAACACTGAAATAGAGTACATGTTAGCAGGCCTGGCTTTGAGCGGCTGGATGGCAGTGAGATAAACCCAAACAAAGTTGACGGAGGTAGGCTTCAGCTTGGTCCACTTATTTTTATTTCCTGTTTTTTTCCTTTTTTTTAAAGTGACCAGTGCAGACAAAGAAAAGGGTGCAAAAATGCAAACCAAACCAACACAGTGGATGAAGGACAGGAGCATGTGTTCCCCAGCAGCAGGACAATGGAATGGTAAAAACGGGCGCCTTATATACTACTGGGTAAAACCAATTAAAACTCCAGGGGTATAGCATTAACATTAGCTTCTAAAAACTATGTTAAAACCTTCCATTAAAATACCAATAACCAGTTACAATAATAAAACACCCCCCTACAAAAATATACTCCTAAAACACCCTCCTACAAAAATATCTATACCAACTATGACTAAAACAGTGCTAGATCCCCCCCTCCACCAATTCATTGACTTGGTCCAGCCGGAACCATAAATGCCGGTGTTTGTGGCCCGGGCACTCTTTTGACCCACGCACCTGGACACAAGACAGTGGTGAGTAAACACATTTTTAAAATACATATCACAGCCACACTTATATCATTCACCCGCAAAACCCACACATCACACACACCCGAACCCATACCAAACACAACTAACTCACAACACATATATTGCACAAATCCCCATTCAAACTGTTTTGTTTGTCTCCGCAGACCGGACTCTGGACAACCCAAGCCCTCAATAAATGTCTTTCTACCCAACAGTTGTGTGCAATTCATTATATGTGCAAATTAGCATGTGACAATATGTGTACAGTGCAATTTAAAGTGTGATGTGACCTTTAAAAGGTAAATTCATAAAGTGCAGTGTGAAATTACACACGTAAAGAACAGCTGTTCTTTACAGTACACAATACCTTGTGTTGTGTGCTCCTCATTCCTACTGTTCTATAACCTGTGATACAACACTGAAATGTCTCCACTGCGGGACAAATAAACAAAATTTTAATCTGAAATATTATGCATGGCCAAGTTGAGAAGACTATGTACTTTGTAATTTCATGTTTTAGACTGTGAAAGAATCTATGTTCAGCTGCAGCAACTGTCATGTAACTGCAAAGGAAAAAACTTGTGTGACTTCAGAAATTGCCATAACTAACTTATGGGTAATACTTTTGTTTAAAATGGTAGATCACTGATGTCAGGGACAATGTAGTGGCAATGTTCAAATAAGTACATTTTGCATAGTCAGTCAATGCCTTTTGAAAATGATTTCCCTCTTTATTTTGCAGTCCGACCAAGAACAACCACCACTGCAGCTCCTACAACCACAACCACAACTACTACCACTACAACCACTTCACCTCCTACGACAACTACTGCTACTACAACACCAGCCCCCACTACCTCCAGCACGACTACAACTGCTCCTACTTCTACTACTACTTCTACTTCTACTTCGACTTCTACTACAACATCAACGACAACCACAGATGTCCCCACTACAACACATTCTTCTACAACTCAGTCCACACTGCCCCCTCCCAAAAGCACGTCCACAGAACAGCTTCGGTCCAGCAGCACACACAGGAGCACGGCCCGGATCCCCACCTCCACACACCCGCCTGTGCTGGGACCCACGGCTCCTGGAGGGGTGCAGAGAGAGAGCAACGCAAACCTCTCGCATAGAGGTAAGGAGTCTGATTTAGAAATGTTATGTGCAATGAGTGAATGTTTGGAGAATGATCATCTCAAGTTGCTTGCCCCGATATTGGGAATTTTGTTGGATCTGATATCTGTTTGATGGCATTGGTTAAGTCTATATCCTTGAGCCTTTCAAATAAATGTATTAATACTATTTAAGTCTGATATCAACACAAAATGTCATAGTGGAAGCTAAGCAAGCTTAAATTACAGAAATACCCACAATACTACAAACGGAAACAAAATAGAATTTCAGATTTTTTTTCAGATTTCCTACATATTGGTTTGCCGGTTAATCTAGAATTCAAATTGCATAGCTATAGTGTATATTTTTTTACCTATGGCCTTGTATTCTGTTGACCAAAAGCCCCAGGCCACCTTTTCAGTTCTTTTTTAAGTTTTTTTCGTTTTATTTTTAATTTTAAAGGAGAAAATTTCAAGAAAATGTTGCAAAACAAGAGAATAACTGAAAAAATAAAAAAATGGGTCACCTTTTCATTTCATGCTGGCATTTCCACTCGCCAACTCAGCGATTGACCCAACCCCACACTTTTTTCATGTCCAGTGTGAACATACAGCTCAACTGAATAGAGAATTTAGAAAGCAAAAACACAAACATGTTTTAAAAGCCCATTCCTTTTATGTGCGTCATGTGGAGAAGGTTATAAAATCACACGCAAGTCACAAGAGGCACAGTGTAAAGCTCGTGCTTGTTTGGGCTTCTTACAAATCTGACCTTATAAATGAATATATTGGAAAGTGGCTCCACATGGATGATGAGTTTGTGATTCCCTGGTTCTCGGTGCAGACTTAGTTTGAATGTCAGATGTTTTGACTCGTTATTTTTGATTTGTTTCCCTCGTGGTGAAAAGCCAAAACGGGTCTAAACTATCAAACTGTTCTCCGTCTGCATGCCATTTGGTCCTGTGTTAAAAAACCTGCTGAAAGAAAAGGCCAATTGATAGTTTCGATTTGACGAGAAAAATATTGCCTGAGTTTCAAGTTTCCTTTCTTTGCCGAATATGTTAAAATGTGTATTTTGCTGTACTTTGAGTGCTTCATTGCCTGAACACGAGTTTTACTACATAGGCAGGGGACCACCACAAAGCAACCACAAAGAGTTGAGTGGAAGAATAGGAGCCAGGTCTATTTTATTTTATTATGTATTTCAAACCTGCACAATACATATTTATATAAGTATTGTGCAGACAAATAACTTGTACCCGGTTCGAAAAGGGGTTGGATGAAGCCAATTGGATTCCAACCCCCATCCCACACACACTGTTTTAACAATATTATGCAGTAGAATTCTCAAACATACAACTGTACAGTACACACAGTAATGCGGTACTACCTCCGTGGGTATGAGACAGACAACACAAAACACACGTACACACAACACAGAGGTCGATATTGATAAGCAATATGTTCAAAGTGACTGACAGATGTGTAGATCTCTGCTACAAAGCAAATTTCTCATGAATATTCTTTAAAAGGAGGTCACTCAAAGCTCATGGTATAGTAAACTTGACCTAAGCAAATAAGTCATATTTCTTACATGAGTGAAGATACAGAATAAGCAATTGCGGCCCCCTGCAGTTACTGTACGGCTCAAGCACAGCCGAGCTTTCAAACCAGCACTTTTAAATATTTCCTTTGGTTTCCAGGGTCCGATCATCTTTTTTTTTCTTGCCGTTTCATGCCTCCGTGGATCTGCTTTCTGCCGATTCCCAGTGTGCGGCATGTAACACAGTTGTCAGGGCTTACGAGTGACAGGCTCCTCCTCACGCTCGGCTGTCTCTTGTTCTCTGTCATGGTTTTGTCCCGCTTTAAATCATACCCAAGCGAGCGTCATTCACGGCTTTGTCTTCAACACCACAATGGCAATAAACAATCACTGCCAAACAAAATACTGCATCAACTTTATGAAGAATGAGTTGTAAAGTGGGAGAAAAACAGATGCGATGAATGTGTCTGTAAGCTTCTTTGTGATGTGAAACTTTTAAATTAGGTTCTGGGTTTTATTTTTTACAGTACTCTTCCACTTCCTATTTTTGCTACTTTCGTGAGTGTTTTCAGTCGGTAAAGTTGACTACGTAAAATGTCCATTGGGCGTTTTAGAAGTTTGTGACTCCTGATGGGAAGGATGAGAAGAAAACCCACAGTGAGTTTGAAATCTCAAGGATCACGGAATAAACCATGGCCTTGTTGTCTTGGGAGCACTAACACAATTAAATTGACCGCCATCTGCTGGTTGTTTGAAGAACTACACCATTTAAATGAATGGGACGTAAGAAATATAAGAACTTATTGCCTGTTTGACTTTTCAAAATCAACAAATAAGGTATTGTTAAATTTAGGGTTCAGTTATGTTGACCTTAAACTTCCCTAACCCCCCTTCCAACCCCTCCCCTGCCCTCCAAGTAGCAAATCCAGTAAGTAAATTTAGTACAATTCAACAATAATTTTAGGTTTCTCAATTTAATCTTCTATTCTTTTAATATAAACTGATGTCCAGTCATTTTCCCGCATACATCTGGACCACTTTATTAGCTCGACCCATGCCACAAAAGATGTAGAATTAAACACATTTATTGAATGAGATGATGCTGACATAAAGTGAGTTCAAGCTGAATACTAAGTTTGAGGGATGAGACTCTGTGTGGGGGCTCCGTCTCTCTTCCCCTCAGCTGGTTTGGGACCCTCTTCAAGGAGAGTGAAGGTTGAAAAGCACAATGTAAGAAAGGAGGGAAGGCGTGTCGAGAGAACAGCCTTAAAACTGGGACTGATGCATTAGACTCATGGTTCAAGAGGCTTCTGGGAGTCGTGCTGCTGCTCACAAACTTCTCTAAACATATTAACATTACATGATTTTGAACATATGATCCTACTATATAGATGAGTAAGTGTAATATGATCCATTGACTTGACTGTTGGTAGTATAGTTGTCACACTTTGTTGGATCTGCTTGATCAAATTGGTCTATAAACCGATAAGTCTATATCCTTGGGCCTTTCAAATAATTGTAATAGTTCTATTTAAGTGTCTGATGTCTACTCAAAACGTCATAGTTTAAGCTATGCTAGCTTTAGTTACGGAAATACCCTTTACCTGTATACTGGACAGGGCAAATAAACTGAATCTGATCTGTAGTTTCAGGATAAATAACAATTAAAACATAACTGGAGCAGGTATCTGGAAATATTGAAATAACGTGAAAATAACATGGGTTGGTGCATCCCTAAGCTCAATATATTTATACTATTGTTGCAATGTAGTTAACCATTTAAACTGAAAATAGGATTGATTATTTAAATAGTGTAATGTCTGTTCATACTGTATCATATTTTCTATCTATTCATATAAAAAAGATTATTAATAGTACAAGGAAAATCCAGTTATTATTATTACTTTTGATCCACTAGGTAGTTGCATGTTAATCTCGTTTCCTCCCTGAGCTCTGGATTACTGTCTGACCTATTTCCTGTCAAATAGTGGTTACATTAAAATGCATTTACCGCTACCCGTAATAAAAAAAAGTATCTCAGAAAATATGAACCAGGTGACCGAAGATGAGTACAAAATGTTCTTTGATTTGGTATTTTCAGCAGTACTGGAGTGAGAGTCTAACAACAATCTTATCTATAAAATACAACTGTCACATGTAGTTTAATGGAGAATAATATTTTGAACATACAAAATAACATACAAAGAATTAACAATTGTAAACTGCTTTGAGACTCAAATCTGTAGTGAAAAGGCGGTATATAAATAAAGATTACTTACTTACTTACTTACATACATCAATTTAGACATCAACGAAAGGCCTATGTTTGTGAAAACAACATCTTCAAATGGAAATCACTGAAGCCTGAAGAAAAGGGTTCACACATGTTTGGCCAGAATGTACACGCTGGAGGGACTATGATTATGGCTGGACTAGGAACGCCTTGGGTCCCCCCGGATGAGTTTGTGTGCGTGTGCGTGTGCGCGTGCGCGTGCGTGTGTGTTGAAGTCTGGCCGTCTCTGCATGTATATCCTGAGCAGGACAGGTCCTAGTTAGTACTGTGATGGTAGACCTCTAGGAACACCAGGTGCCACAATGGGGCGACGGTAAAGTGCCAAACGGCTGTCGTGTGCTTATGCAAGACACGTCACCCACATTGGTGGCCGTCTGAGAGGCATATGGTACAGATTACCTTGTTTCCATGAGTTTACCCCAGGGCAGCTCTGGGTACAGTAGCACTTTACCATCATCATATACGGAGTGAATGAACAATGCCATGTGAAGCGTCTTTGGGTGTAAAACTGATCCATTATCTTTTGCATGAAAACGTCTCATGTTTTAATGCAAAAGATAATGATGCATTGCTCTCATTCACACATGGGTGGACGGACAGATGGGTTATCAGCCTTTATTTTATGCTAATGTTACTTTTCAGCAGGGTGCTTTTGTGTTGTGGTAAAGTTGCTCTTCTCCCTCGGGCAGATCTTCAGGGAGCGTGTTTGGAGTTTAAACTTTTTCTCCCTCTGTGTTTTGTGCAGCTGCCAGTGATCACTACCTCATAGGGAACAACATCACTGTGGCTGTGCTGGGGATTGTCATTCCGATCGGTGAGTCTGTGGATCTTGTGTTGTCTTTGCTTTGTGCTTCTCCCTCCTCGTTCCTCCATTTTGTGTCTGCTTTCTGCCACGCTTGACTGTGGAGATACGTACGTGCTTGTGTCTTTGTGAGCGTATGGAAAGTGGTGCATGCATCAATACTATTCATTTGCAGCCTGGAGTACTAGCTACTAATTTTTGTATGTATTTTTTTCCCAAATAAGTGCACTAACACATACTCACTGAAATGATTGTTTTAACAGTCTAACACAGGTATGTCAAACTCAGGCCTGTTGGCCAAATTCGGCCCGCAAAGGCATTTTTAGTGGCCCCTGAAATTATTGGAAATTATCACTAAAACTAAAGAATTACTATAGCATGTTAGACTTGATTTTAAATGCCTATTTTCTCATGAAAGCAACCATATAATTAAGGTTGTTAACTAACATGTAAATAGAAGTTAAGATTTTTTATCAAAGAAACTGTGGCCCAGTTGTGGTTGAATCCAAGCCTACTGGGAAATAATATCCAAACTCACAGAAATATGTAAAAAAAAATATATATATATATAAGTACCCCAACCATGTTTTTAAACTTTGTCCCTAACCAAAATGAGTTTGACACCCCTGGTCAAACGTATTCAAATGTGCTTCAAGTTTTTAAGTATCCACGTTTTAAAAAAAGAATAATGTAATGTCATGTGGTTGGAGCGTCGTCATCTTTGATTACAGCACACATTCACTGTGACATTGTTTGAAAAGCCTCCACACTGTCAGCACAGGCCAAAGATCCTCAATAGGACATAGATCTGGAGTGTGTGGTGCAGGTAAATGAAGATAATCTGTCAGTCACATCAGGGAGCGTCGGGGTAAGTGACCATGGCGAGTGCCGCCTGGGGCTGTGCCTATTCCTGAAGGTTATTCCATCAATGGGTTTCTCTTTCATAATTGCACGGACATATATCAAGATGATCTTTCCACGATTCACAAAGCTCTTGATTTAAAAGAGTGGGTTTTGAAGCCGGGGACATAATTCACCCATCTGGATTTGCCTGCACCACATAGTCCAGATATTAACCCCATTGAGAATCACTGAGATGTGCTGGAGAGGGATGTAGTGTGTGCGGTGATCAAACTCTCCCACCATCAAAACAAGATCATTTCACAGGCAAAGTTAAAGCTGGGTTACCTGACTTTTTCTGCATAAATAGTATGTGTAGTTTGACCCAACAGTTTTTGTGTTTTTTTATGTTCGCAAATAAACCTTAAACATAAACATTATTTTCTTTATCATATCAGAAAATCTTTTGCATTTAAAAGGCCCTGTGAGTCTGTATTTGATGATTTGGGCTGAGAGCTGATTGGCTGAGAGAGGGAGGGGGCTATCTCTGATCTAAAGACATGACAGAGGCCTAAAAATACACACATTTAAAAACTAGAGACGGAACCAAACAGTTTTCAAAGCAGGTCATGTGATTCATGTATTATTATTATTATTATTGGTGTGGTTTGAAAGTTACATACCCCAGCTTTAATTACTGAAGCACCCACAGTACTCGCTATACTGCCATGTGTAAGAAGCAATTTGGCCCAAACATTGTAGAAGTGCGTCAGCGTGAGCTTGTGACCTGCAGCGTTGCTCTGTATTGAGCCGGTGAAATGAGTGATGAGGCGTGAGCCAAGCCGTGGATAATGAGATGTTTCATTACGAGAGATTAGAACAAAGTATGAATCCAGTCATGGTCCGCCATCATGTCGGACCAACCGTTACGTATTAATTTAGTGCCCTCATTCACTTCTGTGCCTCGGATTTATCTGATCCATTTGCTATAGGGACATATATAAGTACAATTTTATCACTTCGAAGATAATGCATTTATTTAAACGCACAATGGGGAAACTGATATGACACAAAGTGCAATACAAGCAGCAGATACACAACAGGCCTTGAGACATTTCAACTTGAATTAAACCTGTTGAATGACTTTCACCTTAAAATGCAGTGAGACTATGAAAAAAGTATTCATCTCTGTGCAAGTAAGATATACAGATATACTATATACGACTGCTATATTATATTAGTATGATGGCCAAATTCATAATCTTAGGCCACTGTAATTGAATTAAGGTCATACTTTTTGCTTTCTTCACATAAATGCCACTGGAACCGGTTGTAAAAGTGGTGATAGCACAATTACAATGTTAAATGCATATTTGCTATACTTGTTGTTATTATTATTATTATTAAAAGGGATATATTAACGGCCGATAGTGGCTCAGTTGGTTGAGCATTGGCCTTTGAGCCTGAAGGTGGTGGGTTCAAGCCCACCATAAGACCACAACTCCCACTGATGGACTACTGCCGTTGTGTCCTTGGGCAAGACACTTTGCCTGAAGCCCCCGCTGAAAGACCTGTGAACTCATGACCTGCAGGAGGATCAGTGAGGGGCTGGTGCTCTGTGTACTGGGTGCAGCTCTGACTGCCACCCCCCGACCCAGAAATGGATAAAGGGGAAGAAAATGGATGGATGGATGAGATATATTTAACTCCTGGTGGTTTATGAGATCCAAAACGGTGCATTTGTGGCCATAGACGCCCTTCTGTTCTTGCTGTTGAAGAAGCAATAACAAACCAGGTCAATATAACCACTTGACAGTGAAAGAGCTAATTATCTCAGAATTCTCCCCTCTGTGCTTCCGTTCAATAAAGTAGTAAAATGTTAAACCCAGAACACGCCCGCTGAGCTGTGACTTTCTCTCCAATCATCCAGTAATATATTCATTAGCTTAGATTACAATCTCAAATTCAAATTTACTGCATATATTACACAGACACACATTATTCTTATGGCTTTCATATATGTTACTAATTGAGATATTGCAGCATAGTTTAATTATGGAAACTTATTGCAATTCCATTTTTTCCGTCTTATATTCCGAGCAAATAAGATATGTGCTCATTAGAACGACCCAAGAGAATGTGATCCCGCTATATTTCATTCCTCTTTTGTCGTGCGGCATATGAATGCCATAAATCTCCTCCATTTTGGCAGCTTTGAAACATTAGTTATTGTTAGGAATCTTCAAGGGCCAGATTTTGGGTTTCCCCCTCTTTCCCGTGCTGCGGCCCCACGCACCCTTCCATCAGGGGACAGAGGCCTATACGATTAGCAGCGTTTAAGCCAAAGCCAGTCTCCCTAATTGCTCTGAAAATTCCTAAATGAGAAGAGGAAAAGCGGGTTTATTTAAGCCGAAAGAACAAAGACTATGTGGGGTTTCCACAGCAATTTCATATGCATCTCAGGGGGCGGTTCAACTAAAGACCAATTAGACTTATTCCACTGAGCAGAGACCTGAGGAAAGACGCACACAAACAAGTGCATCTTATTTAAATCATTCAGAGTGCGCCATTACCATTTGGATTTATAAATATGTAACAGCACAATACATGACTGGGGTCATTGTTTTGTTTAAACTAATTAGCTTTCCCTGACTAAATCCCCAGCAGGTGGATTGATTGACATGTGTGACAGGCAGGACCATTCTAGCTGTTGGATTGTAGTTGTAAGAGCACTAAGAGTGCATATTTTGTACCGTCCCTTTAAATATTTGAATATGGCACACATCTATACCCTGAAAACATGTTGTGACTGCTCAATTAGTTAAAATAAATACTTGAAATAAAGACAGATCATTTTTTTAACAGCATATTGAAGTAATAGTTATTATAATGCTTAATTCATTGTGACTATTGCAGAACTGCTGTTTGTGAGACGTTGTAATTCATTAATAAACAGATTAAATACTTGCCTGTGGAGGGATATCATGTAGTCCTATCATGTCTGACATAGATTAGAGTCAATGGTGTTTCTCTTTCTTGGTATTGATTTCTGAAACCCCGGAGCCTTTTCGCTGCATGCTTGCAGTTATGTCCACTTTTCTCTCTTTTTACTCATAAACTGTGCATGCTGCTGGCAACCTACACATCAATATGTATATGTTAGAGTTGTTGTATTTTTCTGAATGAAAGAAGAGAAAAAAAGATTGACAGAAGCTAATGAAGGCTCATCATTTTCCGAAAGTGAAGAGACCAAGATATGGTTTCTTGCAATGCACAAAAAATGGACTGAAAACCATTTATTGTTTTTCATAACATATATATTTATTTTTTGTACATTTGTATCTGGGTTTCAGGCAAAATTATGAAATGTGAGATGTTTTCCCCAATCAAAGCATGTACTATTCTATTCTATTCAATGTATTTTTGTATAGCCCTAAAAAACAACAGGAGTTATCTCTGAGAAGTTTGCAATCACATCAGGGAATCAAACCCTAACCCGGAAAAAAAACACTTAGAGCCCTTGTTCATTGGTGCGTAAGGGGCAGATGACCAATGTCCATAAATGTCGTTGAATGCGAGTGTCCTTGATCATCACCACTGTGGCAGCAAAAAAATGACAACTTTTTACTTTTACTTTTGGTTATATAACTTGTTTGCACCGTTTACCAAAGCATATTCCTAGTTTGTGACTTCCTGTTACTCCTGAGGCAAAGACACCACAGCAACATCTGCCTTAAAGCCTGAAAAAAGGAGCTTTCTCATTTCTCATATCAAATCCGTTTCCGTTCCTATTACCGTTCATCCAACTCCCTGCTCTTTCCAGTCAACAAAACCCAAACATGCACTCGCTATTTGCATACAGCGCTCTTCAAAGCTCCTCTTATCCACTTAAAGTCTCCTCTAATGTCTTGTGTGGGCGTTTAGCTTTTGTTTTGCAAGTCACACTGCAGAGCTTTTAACCGCGAGGCTAATTTTGGATTTGAACAGCTTGTGAAAAATAAGAGAAATACTTAGGTAATGTTTAGGTGTCTGGCCTTTTACTGAAGTACATTTTTAATACTAAGTACTTTTTATCTTTACCCTTACTATATTTGAGGAAGAGTCACTGTCTCTGCTTTCTTCTGCACTTGTGTGGTTTAGAAAAGCTTAGAAGTGAGTATTATCATTTCTCAATAACAAAAAGTGGCAACATTTATATTATTCAGATAATAATGTAGCAATTTTAGAGGGCAGTTTTCCTATCTTTTCTATTTGGGGTAGATAACTTTTTATACATTCTGGTCCCAAAATGAATAGTCTTGTAAATAGTAAGTAAAATGTTGTGAACAAATCCAACCACCTGCTGTCTTCATATGATTTAAAACTAGAGTAAATGTCTGTCTCTTTGGGCTGAGAGATGATTGGCTGAGTCAGGGTCTATTTTTAACTTCTGCATGAAGAAGGTGAAAAATAAGAACCACAGTGTTTTGAGAGCAAGGGACAAGTTACATGTTGTTTTTTAGTATGGTTCCAGCTTTTGTGGTTTAGAAGTTAGGTACCCCAACTTTAAGATAAATTATAAGCAAGGGTTTGACAGAGAAAAATCTACTTGAAGAGTATAAAGTAAAGCAGTTCCAAATTACATATGGACAGTTAATTGTGCAAATATGGGTCAACGTACTGACACTTGAACTGAAAATCTGCACTCTTTCCTCAAGTTTAAAATCATAAATCCTGTGATAACAGCAGGTGGCGGTTTACTCGGTCAGCTGTTCCCTCGCAGTGACTCACTGATGTCTGGTGTTCTGGTGATGATTCAAGACACTCAACATCCAACAACATTTATGGACAATAATCAACATTCATCATTGCATTTCCTGTGTTTGAACTGTTTGATTCTCTGATTTGTGTTGGCGAATTCAAGGGGTTTTTAAGTCCTCTAAGATAAATAAATGCTAGTATTTAGCATAAAATAATAAATGCAGCATATAGTGTCTCGTATTCCCCATTGTGAATTATGTAACCGCACTTTGAAAACCACAACCCATTAAAAAGTGTGTTCTGCTTTTCACCCCAGATATCTAAAAGTTATATTTATTTGTAGAGCACAATTTGTGTACCAGGCAATTCAAAGTTCTTCACAAGTGCAATTTAAAAACAGATAAAAATGCATTAAAAAAAATTGTGATTCAAACAATCATTTCATATTACAAGAGAGCAGCATAAAAGTATAAGATATGTTTCCAGCCTATTTTTGAACTTGCTCAGATTATATAGGCCTGTCCCACAACCTCAGGAAGACTGTTCCATATCCTAGCTGCATGAATCTGAAATCCAGCTATTTAAATCGAATACTTTTTCTCATAGGTTTGTAAATCTTAGAAAACAAAACCCAACTCTGTGCACTAACTTCAGGTGAAAACACTGAGCCTTCACCAGCCTCCACTGAGCGAATGAAGCCGGTGAATCATTGCTGTTGCGTATGTTCCCCCCGGGCTGTGCTAACGCTCCCGCCGTGTCCTGTTCTGTTCCTCTTCTTTTTCTCCTGTGTGTTTGTACGTGAACCACATGCAGTGCCTATCCTTGCCACAGTGGTCATTGGCCTGGTCTGCACGGGCGGGTATCTGGTCTGGAGGAACTATCGCCGCAAGAACACCAAGAGCATGAATTTCGACAACCCCGTGTATCGCAAAACCACAGAGGACGATGACGACGAGATCCACATCGGGCGCCACAGCGACTCCATCGGCCACGTCTACCCTCCAGTAGGTGGCGGTCACAGTCAGCCGTTCATAGCTCTGCCTCTAGGGGGCGGTATGGCTGACAACAACTCGCACTGGTACTCGGGAGCGCCCATGTTGACCAAAAAGTGACCGGGCTCATGGGTATTGGAGGGATTTGGACTTTAGCTGTTTGTCTGAAAGGCAGCAGCGCAGACACCAGCCATTCATAAAACCACACAACATTCTTTCATCAGTATGTCTTCAGCGGGTCAGAAAGCACATGCATTTATTGTCACTGCACGGCCATGTTGGTAAAACTTTATAATATAGAAACGGCAAGAAGAAAGCTGAAAAATATCTTCTTAAAATTACCCATCAAGAATTTGACATTTAACTCTATTTGGTTGGTCAGCCAAAAGCTCCTCTATTTATTTATTTGTATTTACCTATTTAATTATCTATTCTTATACACAGAAGATAGTAGAAGTAATCTGCATTCCACTTCTTGTTTGTCAATCCAAATAATATGATATAGTTGCATGGCTCTTAAACTTGATCTTTCTCTGGGCGTTACCAAAAATTCAGAGGCAAAAACTACAGGGGCCTGTCTGTTTGATTTTCATTTCATTTTAATTTTTGTTTCATTTTTTTAGTTTAACGAAGGTAATTTTCAATCTGAAACGTGGCAAATGCAGTGTGTTTATACAGTGGATATAGTAAAGTAAAGGACCAAGGTTTACATGGAATTCTTATTTATACTTTTACACATATTTGTTTCATCCAGATCTGAATCCAGGGGTTAGTGCCGACATGAGGCATAAACCAGTGGTATTGTGTGCACCAATTATTGTTATCAGTGGGGAAATAGAAAAAAATAATGGCCCAAATAATCATCAAAGTGATTTGTTTGAGCTCAGGTTTACACACATTTCTCTTCAATGAACACATTATTGTTGGGATGATGTGAATGTTTTCACCACACTCATAAATTATTCAGCATTCGTGAAAAAACAAAAAATCAGGTTTGATAAAGTTCTTAGCATCAAAACAAGCTAAAGAAGAAATACTTCCAAAATAAGGAATACTAAGTATTATTAATACAAATGATAATGAGACTATTTACTTGTTTTAGAATGTGAAATAAAATCTCAAGTATATGATATATAGTGAAACAAGTAGGAAGAGTAAAAGATGGGCTTTCCACCTCTAACTCAAATTTGAACATTACCGGCTGCAAACACAGTCATAAGATTCAAAAGAAGTCATTTCACTTTAGGAAATGCAAGAGCAAATTTGTCGGTAGTACTTTAGGTAGTACTCTGACTATGATGTTATAATACAAATATTATATTAGGTTTTGGACAAAAGGAGTAGAGTTACAGGTTTGTGCAAGTTCCTGATTCGTGTGGATAGATCTAAAAACAACTCCAGGTCTGTTTTTGACACGTTGTAATGTGGTTAGAAAATACGTGCATAATACGTCTCTTTTAAATTCTCATCCTTCATCTTTTCCATGTGAAATCCTATCAGTAATCCCTATAGCTTTGACAATATTACCTTTTTTTATTCCCCTCTCCTGAATAGCCAATATTGCCTCAAATTGGATTTCTGGAGTGGGCGGCGATGTTATAACAGTCTAGTGTGCCATATGAGTTTTATTTTTGTATGTATTTATATGATATGATGTATGGAACTGCTGCATTGATTGGAACCAAGGACAGTCGGGAGTGCTTTACCCGCCTCGCCTGCCTCTTTCCCCTGTAAGAGCACTTGTGGGGGAAATTAGCTTGAATAATGCCGAGGTGCTTGAAAAATTTGGCTACGCAGGCCGCTGCTTTCAGACCAAGACAACAACAGTGATTTAAATTCAATGAAACCTAATCGACTTTGCACTCACGGCATTTATTGTTCCGCATTTTCTTATTTACAGCTGCATAGGTTGTGGAAAGAGTAGCCAAAAAAAGGATTATAGGTGATGAGACTAAAACTAGGGGGATGGGGGGGTTGAGATGCTTTGATGGGTTGGCATAGCAACGCAGATGTCTTTGTGTTACTCCAGAGAACAGAGGGGAAAATGTAAGGCAATGAATTCTGTGGAATCATTGGCATCGGGACAGAAAAAGTCACCAAGACATGCATACAAACAGGTGCACGTTTGATATTGAGATTCAAGGTCGAACCGCGGGCTTCCCCCTCAGCGCGAAATACACCCAAGCTGGTTCTCTCGATAATTGTGTCGTTCCTTCTATTGTTTTATGTCTAGCTTTTGTCTCCTGTCAATTTGATTTGGCTTATCTCCGTGCTCATTTGTTATGGCAGCGTGGTAACTCGGGCAAGAAAGCGAAAATTTAGGTTGGCATAAGGCAAGGCAGACTTCTTTCTTTTAAGCCCAAGGCAAGTACCCGGGATTCTTTTCACAAACTGGAGAATGCAATAACGGAGTAAAGGAAGGTCACAGATGGAAAGGAGAGAGGTGGAGGAGTTAAACGCTCATGGTTTGCCTTTGCATAAAAAAAAAATTGTTTACATGTCTTTTAAAGTACGAGATGTTAACAAGAGTTGGTGATATACAAGAAAAGATAAGTCCTTTATTCGGGCCACAGTGGGGAAATATCTATGTCAGAATAAAAGAACAGGATCTATGATTTAAGATAGTAGATAATTAGATTAAATAAAATACTAATGTGATAAGATAATAAAATAAAATTAAGTAAAACTCTTGAGATTTAATGGCCCCTGGGTTAGTATATACAGGTATTTATCCTAGCTCCTTTTTATTTATTTTCTTATTTATTTGATACATTTTGTAATCTCTTAGTTTCAAGTTTCAGGACTCAACCCCTCTCCGCCTAAAGAGTTAAAATAGTATGAATTGTCTAATATTGTCCAGGATAATTCCATATAATTATTTATTTGATTGCTTTTTGCTCCATTTTTTTATGGTAATGCAACAAAATACCACAATAATCCAGCAAGTACAAAAGTATTACATTCCATGAAAAAAATAACAAGTGTAGGATGAAGACAAACAAAATCTTATAAACTGTTACCCCATTCTTAATATAGCTAATGTCGCCAAAACATTTCACTATTTAGAGAAAGGTTGCATCTGAAATATGTCATGGCAAAGGGCTGTGTAAAAAAAAAAATGTTTTGATAATGTTGTGGATCATTGTACACCTTTTACAGCACAAACCACAGCCCTGTTTTAGGACCTCTTCCTCTCAGCGTCGTCTGTTGCGGCCGCCTGCTGTGTAACCATGTCTTTATCTGGTGTTTGCAGCGTGTGGCTCTCAGTCTGGAGGATGATGGCTATCCCTGAGGGGCACCTGGTACCCCTCCAAAGCCCCTTCATTTCTTCCCACCCCCTCCTCTCTCCGCCTAGAGGCCAGTACCACCAGGGAGAGCTCCAACATACCCTATAAAGGAGCTGGGATGACATCTTATAACATTCACTCGCTCGGCTAACGTAGATACCACCTTTTTAAAGCCGCTAATACTTCCTTCTTACTCCTTTCCTCTCCTTACTGCATCCTCTTGGGTCTGTAGTCCAAACGCTGCTATAAACACGTTCAAACTAACCTCATCGGGCTGTGAAGGCGCTCTGTAAATATCGGGAGTTTTAATCCTTTTCATTTATTTATTGTGTTGTAAATATTTTAAAGTTTTCAAGGTGACGCCGCACTGAATAAGGACTTTTTTTTTGTAACTTGCAAAGCCTCCTGTTCTCTTGAATCACACGGAAAAGTATTTGGAGAAGGGTGGAGAATCCGAGAGACTGCGTTATTTGCCCTTATGAAATGGTTGCTCAAAGCTAAATATAGCCAAGAGGAAAATAGCTCCAAAAAATGGTGTTTGGAGGTTGTTCTGGGGTGAAAGAGCGAGCGAGGCTCCAGGGGCTGGTGGCCTGGGGCTAAGTAGAGGCAGCGGAGCAGAGAGGCAAATGATTATGGGTAAATCCTTGTCGCAGATATCAGAGGTACGCATAAATGTGATAACGGGCGTGGGATTGTTGGCGTATTTGTGGAACGAGTTAGGATTAGCAGGGTGTAAATATGATGAGCAAAATTGAACGATTAATGAAGAATATGTTGTTGACTCCCGCCCTCTCAAACACGCACTGGTACCTTTCATTAAGAAAAAAATACTTAGAGTGAAAACCACCCAGCTACCATACCACCAACCGTTTGCGTTATTATTTCCTTAGTCTCTTCGGAATTATAGACATGCATACAAATGTTTGAGGTTACCGAGATGGAAAAGTAATTTTTTTCATCAGCGGCTAACCTTAAAATATCATAGTCGCATAAGATTTGTTCATTTAGGTAGCTTACTTTCCTTGGTGATGGGTGATTTTGAATGGAACACCCACGTAGGTGTACAGGGAAGGTACTTTACTTGACTCCAGTGCTTGTATAGTGTATTTACTTGTATAGTAAAGGTTTATTGATGATTAGAAAACTGAAATGATGATTAAGCAGTTATGCTGATGAGTAAGTAAGTAAGTAATCTTTATTTATATACCGCCTTTCACAGACCAGAGTCACAAAGCTGTAGAGAAACAATAAATTCAAACAATTCATTGCATCAACTTATGCTACTGTCCTACTGACACACCAACACAAGATGTTTTTTTCCTTTTGACAGTAGTGATAATCTCATCTAAATTTGGCGTGGATTTCAACATCTGCTGCCTGATCATCGCTGTATACTTTAATTAACCGTTGTCGCCAATAAATCTGGATTCTGCTTCGTTCGCTAAGATCATGTTGGAACCATCCCATCCTGCTTTCGTTCACCATTTAAGCATCTAGTCTCTTTTTGTGATGTGACGAGTTACGTGCCAAGCCTGAGTGAGAATAATCTGCGTACACCAGCATAAAGAGTCGATCTTCCATGGGCTGCGATGCCAATACCTTCCAGCGGATCTTTGCAATATATTCTGATTATGTGATTTAATGAATGAGGAGTTCATTGAAGGAGAGCTGACTTGTTCGTACATCACTGTTGGTTTTGGAACTCTACAGTCATATATGTTTAGACGATTTCTGAATCTTATATTTACAGCCATTACCCAAATATTGTCTAGACTCTTCCACTGCCTTTCATTCTGTTATTTATTTGATAATGTGGGCATTGCATTGGGTTTGTGCTAACCTGGCCTCAGCCGTCCGTCATTTATAATTTCCAACATGTACGTCTGGGTCTGATCCTAGTGGCTGCAGTTTCCTCCATCGTATCCCCTCCAATCAGTCAGCAGGCGGGGGAGGAGGGTGTTGCAGGTCGGTGTCGGTGACGTCAAAAGTTTGCGCCGAATTTGCTGGTTGTAATTTTGCAATGGTGCGAAGGTTAAGCTAATAGGCTAAATGCTAAATTTCTCACTCACTCTGGTGCATTACATATGTCACGGGAATCTCAGATACAATTGTTTCAATCCCCTCCCACCAGGAACTCAATGGAGCAAATCCACACTGTAGTACGAAATGAAATGACCAGACTAGGTTTGTGCCACTTAATGGCCTTATTAATTGTTTTATGATAATGCTTTGGTTTTGTTTTTTAATATAACTTCTTAGTTCAGAGTGAATGTAATGTTGTAATGAAAAACATTACATTTTACAAATACGAAACATTTGCTGCATCGAATGTGAAATGTAGAATTTGGAATTGTCATGGCCATGGTTACGAGGGGCAGGTGCTCTGTGTACTGGGTGCAGCTCTGACTTAACCCCCCCCGACCCAGGAATGGACTAAGGGGAAGAAAATGGATGGATGGATGGCCATGGTTAACCTGCTTGAAAGAGTATAACATTTATAGAAGAAAACATTTACAGAGGGAAAAAATCCTTTAGACTTTTAATCGCTAATGTCCAAGGCACAAACTCTCTCGCTCAGCATGGTGCATTCTGGAATCTGTTTAAAGAGGAAACAATCTGTCCACTTTTAAATAAAGAGGCAGTTTAATTTGGCAGATTTTTGGTGAGAAATTATTTTGGCGTTTGAGACATGTTTGATCCTTCCATGGTGCGTGCCCAAAAAACCCCCACTTTAATAGACATACAAAATAGAGCATTTAGAAGCACTGTGGCGTTGTGCGTATTTTCCTTCGTCCCATGTTCCGAGGCAACAGTGATCAAGTCTGACAGAGAAGATCACGCAGGTCACACATCCTTCCCTTGATAGAATAAATCATTTTCACACTCCCTATACTACACTGCCTTTGTTTCAGCTGTAATGGAGTCCAATCGTGTTTGTGGAATAAATTGCCTGTTTATTGAGGCCTGCGTTGGGGAAAAAATGAATCTTACCCCGGCAGATCTGGGGTCACTTCTGCTCAAGGACAGGGGAAAGTCAAAAGTAGTCTGCGGATGTAAAACTGCGACGGATATCTCTGAGTGTTGTCTAAATGTTGTTTTTACATATTCATAACAGGTCAGTGGAGGTTATGTTGCTTACTACTGTGATTTTTGAACCAGATTGCTGCAAGGACAACCTGGTAATTCATGTGATTTTTTTTGCGTATCTCGTAGTTTATTTACACTATGCCATATTCATTGTATTGTTGCGTTATAGAGTGTTTCATACAAACATCTGAACTGCCTTCAAAAGGTCAAATTCTAAACTAATTTGAAGTATCTGAACCATCTCTTTGTGTGTTCTTAATGCTTATATCGCCATGTACTGTAACTGTAAAGGTGAATTTCAAATTGAGCCATTTGAAGGTGAACCTCGAAAAATTTAAGGTGGAAATTACAATGCTTAAAAGTGAATCTACTTCTGTACTTCATCGTACAATGGGAAACTAACGTATGACATATTCATAAATTTTTCCCGTATTTACTCATTTCAATCATACACAATATATGCAAGCAAAAGAGATGGGATTAAGCAAAAGGTTTATATAAATCCAATCCCATCCCAGCCATTCAGACACACACTACATTAGAATAAAAAACAAGAAGCAATACTCTACAGTACCTTTCATCAAAACACAGGACAGCAATATGACACATTCTTCATACATGCAAAGTATGTAAGCTACAATCATCTTGGCATAATTCAAGAATTCAAAACTTTATTTGCCATTTGCAGTAAAACCACAATGGAAAAAACTGTGCAAGACTAGCCATAGTGTGCACCAGGCAGAAGAAAGCACACACACAATAGGTCTATAATTCACATTTCTCATTTCATTTGAATTACAAAAGTACATGAACTTTTGAGCGATAACTTTTTTCAAACCGTTTTCTTTTTTAACAAGTATTGCGCATACATTGTCCTAACTTATTTCAGTGCTAGGTTTGGGATCGAATCAGGTTTTGATAGTTGATACTACTGTAGAGTTGTGAAAAACACTGTCAACACTACCAGCCCTTTTATAACATGAACACATATTTAAACTGCTTCTAGTCTTTGCCTTCTTTTCCCAATATTAACCAATAATACCACTGCTATTATTCTTTTTTTAGCAGCCTCTTCTTACAATATCCACTGTATTCTTCACTGTGTCTTGCTCTTAATATTCCAACCACTTTCCATTCTCTCATTCACCCTCATACTATTAATCACTATCATTTCACACACGGCAAGGGCTAACAAACTTTGGGTAAATAACGCAAACTCTGACTCCATGGAAGCCACAACTCCACTGCTCGGATCCAGCTGAAGGAGCCGACACGGATCTATTCTACGGACTTTTGGGTTTGAACCACTTCCCTTCTCCAGCTGTTTTTCTTACCATGATGTGACATATTTGGGACTGTGATTTGTCAGTGGTCGTTCTAGCCCCTTGCCAAACCATTCCTTACTTGATAGATGTACATTACTTGAAAGGCAAATGTCGGGGATGTTTTTATATCGGTCTGTGTAGAAGGAAAGCTAACGGGGGATTGTGTGGGTTTGGTGGTTTCTTCAACGCATCGTCGTCTGCGGCAGGATACAGGTGCGCAGGGGGTTTGTGGGAAAAAGGTTGTACTGGTTCAATTTGGATAAATGGCTAGAAAGGACTATATTTTAGGGTAAATTTCAGTTCAACCAATATCCAAAATATCAGCTATTGCCTTTAAGTGGCAATAGCTGAAATGGGCGGGTCTAGCTGAAACTTAGACCCGCCCATGCTCAACCCCCGCAGCTTCCTCATTGGTTGAAATTAAATTAAAACTTTGCGGCCCTGTTCTCCTCCCATAATTTAGTTATGGGCATAGTTATGTCAAGAGGAGGAAGTATTTTAGATTTATTACTGATTTGAAGTGCATTTTTACAGCATTTTTACTTTTAATCATTTGTACTGGCAATAGGTCTATTTCAAAGAAAAGAAAGAGA